CATTTTGTCTCCGCCAGGTTACCAGCCCACCTCCTTCTGTGCCCAGGCCTCATGACAGACAGCAAGGATCTCTTGGCTTTGAAAAGAAAACTTTGTCCCTTCTCAGCACGAAGCAGCTACAGAAGAAATCCAACATCCATTTTCCCCGAAAGAATTCAGAGCCAGGATCCTTGAGGTGATATATCAGGCAGTAAGACAGACATGAGCAGAGCAAGGAAGATGGGCCAACTAGCACTACCAGATATAACTAAGTCTTTCCACCTCTACCTATGTGAGACAAGGGGACTCCCCAGAAGCAAGAGGGAACTAGGCTGCAGATAAAGCAGCCCAGGAGGCTGCCCTACAACCAGTGGGGCCTCTACAGATTCTAGTGACTCTTCCACACCCTGACCTACCAGCTTACATGGAAACCCAATGTAGAAAAGCTGAAATCCATAACCAATCTCCAATCTTTACTAAAGTTCTTTCTTTTTTTAAAATATATTTTATTGATTTTTTACAGAGAGGAAGGGAGAGAGACAGAGAGCCAGAAACATCGATGAGAGAGAAACATCGATCAGCTGCCTCCCGCACACCTCCCACTGGGGATGTGCCCGCAACCCAGGTACATGCCCTTGACCGGAATCGAACCCGGGACCTTTCAGTCCGCAAGCCGATGTCTGGTGGTGTTATGGGGGACCCTTACTTGTGGCCTTGCCCAGCAAATGGAGTGGAACTTGCACTCTGATAAATTCACTATCCCTTTCACTTTGGGATATCATAAACCTTTTTCAGTAGACAGACAGACTAGGAAGAGGACAGAGTGCAGGGGCTCCTTTGATCCCCATATACACACAGATCCCATTGGGGTTCCAGGAGGGGTGCCAAAAGGAGTTTAAGGCTAGAAATCAGATTGCCACCGGGTTTGAATCTGTCCTGTGCTGGTGGCCCACTCTGAACAAAAAAGAGTGAGGGACCAGTCACGTGCATCAGGGATTATAAAGCCAAGCAGACCATCTGCTCTGTGCCTGGGCTTCCAGACCATGTGTGTGCACCTTTCTACGTAGAAGTAAAGATATTTGTCTTGCTGCCTGCCTCCCGAGTATGTTTTGTGTTCTATCAGGACCCCTGAATTGGGGGGATCGCCTTATTTCTCACAGCTCCTCTTTGGAGTTTCCCAGAATGCAGACCTGCACAGAGAATTCTCCACCCAGAGAAAGCCTGCCAAGAGTCCTTTAAAAACCTCTGACACCGCCCTGACCTGTTTGGCTCAGTGGATAGAGCGTCAGCCTGCGGACCGAGGGGTCCCGGGTTCGAGTCCAGTCAAGGGCATGTGCCTTGGTTGCAGGCATATCCCTAGTGTGGGGTGTGCAGGAGGCAGCTGATCCATGTTTCTCTCTCATCGATGTTTCTAACTCTCTATCCCTCTTCCCTCCTTGGCTGGAAAAAAATCAATAAAATATATTTTTTAAAAAAACCCTCCTGACACCATCTTTGGGGGGCTGGTGCCACTTGAGGGACTTAGCCCATCTGGTATTCCAGAGGACCTAATAAATTCATAATTTCTCCACCTCCTTTTGGG